CAAACGTTGCTATCTGTTTTCGCTTTCTCCAAGTTTGTCGATATTATAGTTTCTCTAGTTACCTCTCTGTTTGTATATTTTATATGTTTCATTTCGGTTTGACATCTGCCTGTACTTGTCTACTTTGTCGCTCAATGTTTAGTGGTATTTTCGTATGAAACTAGGTGCCTTACTGCAAGTTCTGGTCTTGGATCTACTCCCACTGATATAATTGCAGGAATCTCTGACTGGGTGGAGACTTCATGGTTTACCTGACCGACCTGACATATAACATCGTGACAGCCTTCGACACAAACTTCGGTTCCACTCGGAATCCCATATCTGTCTGAATCTCCTTGGTGTATGTCGTTGTTTTGGCACTTTGAGTTCCCGCTAGTAACATTGAAGTTTTATGGGGTTCATCTATCTGGATCCCTGAAGATTCCATAACACTTCCTACTTGACATACTACATCGGACGATGGTTTACGCAACATATGCTTAATTAAGTCGGCCTGTTGGTAGGCATCTACAGTTTCTTTGTACGATGTGATCGGTACATCCTGTGTTTCTATTGGCTTCACATACACCGGTTGTTCTTGTATCAGTTCAGCTTGTGTTATTTTTGATGTGTGGACAATTCCTGTTTGTGTGACGACATCGTTGGCCATCTTCTTTTCCCACATGTGAATCGGATCAATGCCAGTATCCTTGTATGCTGGTCTAGCGGTGACGTATTCAACTGACTGTGTGGAAACTTCATGGTTTACCTGACCGACCTGACATATAACATCGTTGACAGCCTTCGACACAAACTTCGGTTCCACTCGGAATCCCATATCTGTCTGAATCTCCTTGGTGTATGTCGTTGTTTTGGCACTTTGAGTTCCCGCTAGTAACATTGAAGTTTTATGGGGTTCATCTATCTGGATCCCTGAAGATTCCATAACACTTCCTACTTGACATACTACATCGGACGATGGTTTACGCAACATATGCTTAATTAAGTCGGCCTGTTGGTAGGCATCTACAGTTTCTTTGTACGATGTGATCGGTACATCCTGTGTTTCTATTGGCTTCACATACACCGGTTGTTCTTGTATCAGTTCAGCTTGTGTTATTTTTGATGTGTGGACAATTCCTGTTTGTGTGACGACATCGTTGGCCATCTTCTTTTCCCACATGTGAATCGGATCAATGCCAGTATCCTTGTATGCTGGTCTAGCGGTGACGTATTCAACTGACTGTGTGGAAACTTCATGGTTTACCTGACCGACCTGACATATAACATCGTTGACAGCCTTCGACACAAACTTCGGTTCCACTCGGAATCCCATATCTGTCTGAATCTCCTTGGTGTATGTCGTTGTTTTGGCACTTTGAGTTCCCGCTAGTAACATTGAAGTTTTATGGGGTTCATCTATCTGGATCCCTGAAGATTCCATAACACTTCCTACTTGACATACTACATCGGACGATGGTTTACGCAACATATGCTTAATTAAGTCGGCCTGTTGGTAGGCATCTACAGTTTCTTTGTACGATGTGATCGGTACATCCTGTGTTTCTATTGGCTTCACATACACCGGTTGTTCTTGTATCAGTTCAGCTTGTGTTATTTTTGATGTGTGGACAATTCCTGTTTGTGTGACGACATCGTTGGCCATCTTCTTTTCCCACATGTGAATCGGATCAATGCCAGTATCCTTGTATGCTGGTCTAGCGGTGACGTATTCAACTGACTGTGTGGAAACTTCATGGTTTACCTGACCGACCTGACATATAACATCGTTGACAGCCTTCGACACAAACTTCGGTTCCACTCGGAATCCCATATCTGTCTGAATCTCCTTGGTGTATGTCGTTGTTTTGGCACTTTGAGTTCCCGCTAGTAACATTGAAGTTTTATGGGGTTCATCTATCTGGATCCCTGAAGATTCCATAACACTTCCTACTTGACATACTACATCGGACGATGGTTTACGCAACATATGCTTAATTAAGTCGGCCTGTTGGTAGGCATCTACAGTTTCTTTGTACGATGTGATCGGTACATCCTGTGTTTCTATTGGCTTCACATACACCGGTTGTTCTTGTATCAGTTCAGCTTGTGTTATTTTTGATGTGTGGACAATTCCTGTTTGTGTGACGACATCGTTGGCCATCTTCTTTTCCCACATGTGAATCGGATCAATGCCAGTATCCTTGTATGCTGGTCTAGCGGTGACGTATTCAACTGACTGTGTGGAAACTTCATGGTTTACCTGACCGACCTGACATATAACATCGTTGACAGCCTTCGACACAAACTTCGGTTCCACTCGGAATCCCATATCTGTCTGAATCTCCTTGGTGTATGTCGTTGTTTTGGCACTTTGAGTTCCCGCTAGTAACATTGAAGTTTTATGGGGTTCATCTATCTGGATCCCTGAAGATTCCATAACACTTCCTACTTGACATACTACATCGGACGATGGTTTACGCAACATATGCTTAATTAAGTCGGCCTGTTGGTAGGCATCTACAGTTTCTTTGTACGATGTGATCGGTACATCCTGTGTTTCTATTGGCTTCACATACACCGGTTGTTCTTGTATCAGTTCAGCTTGTGTTATTTTTGATGTGTGGACAATTCCTGTTTGTGTGACGACATCGTTGGCCATCTTCTTTTCCCACATGTGAATCGGATCAATGCCAGTATCCTTGTATGCTGGTCTAGCGGTGACGTATTCAACTGACTGTGTGGAAACTTCATGGTTTACCTGACCGACCTGACATATAACATCGTTGACAGCCTTCGACACAAACTTCGGTTCCACTCGGAATCCCATATCTGTCTGAATCTCCTTGGTGTATGTCGTTGTTTTGGCACTTTGAGTTCCCGCTAGTAACATTGAAGTTTTATGGGGTTCATCTATCTGGATCCCTGAAGATTCCATAACACTTCCTACTTGACATACTACATCGGACGATGGTTTACGCAACATATGCTTAATTAAGTCGGCCTGTGTTGATTGTTCTACTTGTACTTTACCTATTTGGCATATCATATCACTTTTCTTCATTTGTTTTCTTATCATTTCTTCCATACTGATGATCATTGGTGACATCTCTGTACTTGCGTTAACCGTTATCCTACCTATTTGACATGCGGCTTCAGTCGTTTTTATTGGGTGCTGCCATACCTTTTTGATTTCTGCTTGTACTCCATGATTTTTCTTATTTCTTTCTGTATTCTCTATTTCTATTTGTGTTCCAGTTGTTTGTGTAACCTGTCCTATTTGACAGATAGCATCTAGTACGCTGTATTTTCGTGCACTTTTTTGTGATTCAAGTATGTCCATTTTCACAACGGTTTCTGTGATGCATTCTGACTGAGTGGAATTATTCTTAGTGATAACACCAGATTGAACTATCGCATCCAAAGTTGGCTTTTTAGGCGTTTGTTGTAGCTTGTAATGTCCTAATGTTTGACATGAAGCATTTGCTGTAATTTGACCTACTTGACATAGTACTTCTTTAACTGAACGCTTAGGACTGTATCCATGATAGTCATCTTGTGTGCCTGCGTCGACTTTTGAAACTCCAATTTGAGTTATTGCATTTCTTACTTGTTTTCTTTCAGGAATCGTCGCTGGCATAAATTGTCTTTTAGAAATACATAAATCTATTTTATTACGACCCATATCACCGTCATCAGAAATTTGAGTCCCTGATGTTTTGGTCGTAACACCGATTTGTGTAATAGCATCAAGTACTGGACATGGAATTGATTCTGATCTTGTTCTGGACGATAATCGGGATGTTTCTCTAACTATAGATTGAGGTGATCTTGCATCTACTGGATACATTTGATTATTACCTGTCCAATTGTCAGATATTGTACTAGATTTTAAACTAGAACTTATTCTAGAATTGGTTATACTAGAATCAACATTCGGTTCATGTTCATATCGGCTACTCCATCTTTTCACACGATTTATCAATTGATCCAACTGTGACTGACTCTCATGTTGTAACTGACTAAATAGGGAAACATAAGAAAAGTATAAAAATTTAAACCAGTATGATCACACATATACTTGTTAAGACATTGTTAAGACGTATATCACATAATTCTGATAAACTTCGTCTTCTAATTGCATCATCGAAATTTGTCAAAGGGATTAATTGTTTTAAATAAACCAGTACATTATTTTGAAATAAATTGTATTTAATTATGAATGATCTTTCTTCGACTCTTTTCAAATATAATTTGAACAATTCTGATTCAGCAATTTTAATAGTTTTAACGAATTTCATTTCAATCTCTAATTTTTTCCCAACCTTTTGACGTACTTCCCATTAAAATACATTGATCTAAGCCTTTATTATTTTTGTCACATCTAGTACACCTGTGGCGTGTGCGACTTATATCGAGATAAATAGTATATGGCATTAGTCGTGAACAGAATGTCTGGCAGCAGAGAGACAAGAGGATCGAACAGTAAAGAATGGAAACAGAATGCAATTTGTATGAAAATTCAAGAACAATGAAGTTTAAGTCATTTTGAGACAATTGATAAACATTTTGCAAATTAAGCATTTACTATATGATTGTTAGATTTTATTAACAAGTCCTGTAATTTTGTGTTAAATATATTCGATTGTCCCCACTAGTGTTCTGTTCGCTACACACCTTCTATCACGTTATCAATTTCTAATTTCTCTTTGATTTTTATGTGCACTCATTTAATATATTTCTTTTATATCAGTCACTCATAAACTAGCTTGATTAATTTAATATTTTCACATATGCAGATAAATACTTATACTGTATACTAAAGTCTGATGAGAATTTATTTAAAAGTAATATTGTTAGTTTATATGTGTTGTTTTTTAATCCAAGTAAATCGCCTAATTTGGAATTCGATAGTAAAATGAACAAATAGTTATCACCATGTACTGATAACAGTTCATTATTATCTATCTGTCCATATTGATGATGAAGTTATTCCACAGAATAAAACTAATCAATCCACAATCTTAAACTTTTAATTGTCAATGTGCGCACTAGTGACTAGCTCTCAGAGATAATCTCGTGGTCTCAGTGAGAAGCCGTGACGTGTGGAGCCGACCCGTATTGAGTGTGTAGTGGTTGCTCACCGAAGACAGTGGGAAGTGGTCCCGCAATGTCGCAAATTTAATAAAGTCAGACATCCACACTGTTGGACTGCAATTCAGTGGTCTTGAGGTTGGGCGTTCGTGCACGAGACCGAAGGTCTAGGGTTAAATTCCCGCGAGAGTGGTCGTAGATAAACACTTCTGAGGATCCTCATACTAAGATGAAACATTGATCGAGTCCTTCCAAGTTTCCTATGCCAGTCTCAGTCAGTCAGCTACAACGTAGGATCAGGTACATATGCTGGTTTAACTTAGATTGGTTATTACTTTGAATTAGAGTATATAATGAAATAAACAAATTATTAGTTCGTAAAATTCTGATTCTGATTAAGAGCAGTGTAATGTTTAACTTATACTCTGGTAAAAGATGACTCACAAAAATTCAGTAAAATTACAACTCAAAATTTATAAATTTGTGTAAGACAGATGGACCCATCTTACATAACATGAAGTTGGTTGGCACATGATTATGTTAAAGAGTAAAAAGTGGTGAAAAATTGGAAGTTACAAGTAATGAACATGAATAAAGTATATCGAAGAAACAACCCGATTTCGGCGCGAAATTCATTCTTGCATTACAGCCGATGAGAATTGGATACGCGTTCATAAATTTTTAATACATCTCAGCATTTAATGTGTTTGATGTTTAACACTTTCCTGCTCAATTAGTCAGTGAATGATACATGTAAGAGTATAATTTTCATTGCAGATTTGATTTCAAACACTAATCTGTCGTTTATTGGCTCGTTTCATCCACCAAGTTGGGATGCGCCACAATAGCATATTCACAAAAGATATAAGTTCGTAGTTTTAGACGATTAGAATGAAGTCTCTAATGAAAATCACACTCTTATATGAAGTATTGATACGCTAAATGAACGGGAAAGTAGTTGGAAATGCTAGATATGGCACTATTATTGAACATTGATAGAGGATAGTTGTCTTCACGCAGCTGACAGCATTTCCTCATGAAACCTAGTAATTCATATATAAGAGTAGTGTATTCATGTTAAAATTTAATCAATTACACTTATACTACTTTTTTATCATAAATCCTTTCATAAGCAAACACTGTATACTCGGCTGAAAAATGGTTCAAGGTTATTTATATAATTTTCTTCCACGAACGAATGAGTACTTTATCGTTTTAAGGTGTCATTACCAAAGTTTGACGTGATAATTTTGAACAAACTGAGTACTGAGTGGATAGTTATTAATAAAAATAATGTATTTGTAATATCCCAATAAATATAAAAATTAGATTTCCTGACATTTCGTGACCTAGTGTAAGCCACTTCTTCAGATAATAAATAACTAAGTCAAAATTAATCCAAGTTTAAATGGTACAGAGGAATAACGTTAGAAAAACTAATTTTTCTAGTCATTGGGATATTGCAAATATACTATTTTATTTACTTCACCGCTTTATTCTTGTGTTTACTGTATCTTTGTAACTTAACAAGACTATAATGTACTGACAGCTCTGAGTGGCTAATCAAAATTAGCTAACCCATGAGCAAGTTGAAAATACCATTACGGATAGCCTGTTTCTAAATCTCATGATTTCCATTATATTTTTTATTTCGAAAGGATTGGATGGTGGTTTCCTTGTGGAATGAACTGTTAAGGTCAGGATGTTTGGGTTAGGAATTTTAGGATTTGAACACAGGATTAAGGCTAGAAGTATTAGTGTTAAGGAGCTTTTGTTTTATGAGTCCTCCTAGTATGGGACTCCTCAGCAGTGCGCACCCATGATCCTGGGTTCGAATCTCGTGGGGGTAGGGTGGGATCGTGGATGCGCACTACTGAGGAGTCCCATACTTGGGCGAAATGGCCGTCCAGTGCTCCAAGGTTTTCCATGGTGGTCTAGCTTCAACTGACTCATGATTTCAACTATTGAAATAACCAATTCTCCACAAAACCCCTTCTGATAATTATTACTTTGTAACTATGGGTAACTTCGATAGCTTTAGATTTCATGGCAAAATGAAATTAATGATGTGTTTTCATCAACTGCCAAATATGCTACAAATGTTGTTCAATCATAATTTTGAAAAAAACTTTAATTCAAGTTAGGAATTACTTGAATCTTTATCAAATATGAACAGTTAATTAGTATAGTCTGAATTTATATACATGTTCAATAGCTTCCGTCACAGAATACCATCGTCTGTAGAATAAAGTAAGAACCAGAGAGCGCTGGACAACTATCTTTATTCTTTTTGGGACTGCACATCAGTTTGCACGCATAACCGTTCACAGAATCGATCCCATGATTTCGAGGTGACTACAAACCCATTAGACTACTAAGTTCAAATCCAGTGTCCCGTACTTTCAACTTCAATTAGTTCATGATATATGACACGATAATCATTCAATTCCATAAGTGACAGCCACCTCACTAGTGCTTGTTTCGAGAAGACTAAGAAAAAAATAATCTCAACAATTATTGAAAATTAACTAACTCTATCAACGATAATTCTTGATCAACTCGTTTTTGATCTGCATCAATTTCACGTAAATAATTTGTCATATGAGTTCCAGCCAGTTCAGATTGTGCACGTAAATGGTCCATTTGCCGTTCATGATCACGTAGTCTTAACAATGGACTATGCATACAAACAATATCTTGTTCTCTTAAAACTACTCCACCAGGTGAACTACGTTGTCGACTAACTAATGAGGAAAAAGCGGTAAACGGAGAAAAATACATTTTAATAAGCAATCTGTTCATAAGTAATCATTAAAAAACGATCTATAAGAAAGTATTTATTGAATATATTGTAAACTGTTCAAAGCTAGACTTGATAGTTTCAAATAAATTACTCATTGGATATAAAGTTACTGATAAATATATGTTTTGTTATATTCCAATGAGTAGGAAATTGTAATTTCGACGTTTGGTGACTTAGTGTAGGCGATTTCTTTCGAGTCAACAAACAACCGAATTACTCTGAATAAGTGGCTTACATTAAGTCATGAAACGTCAAAAATACAAATTTCCTATTCATTGGGATATAACAAAAATATATTTATTATTCACCATACTCTTAGGAATGTAAGTAGTATGTTCCATTTTAGTTAATTTATGTCGAATGCCGCTTTATCTTCACGAACTAATGGTCAGAGAGGGTGGGCGACCTATGCTCCTCCACGAGGAGTAACAGGCGTAAGTAAGTAATGGTCAGAAAACAGCTTAAATAACCTAAGTGACCTGATTGAATCGAGTATATTACTAATGATTTAGACCCGATGAAATGAAGAGATTTATTCTTTGCTCAGATTAGATTAGTATAACTACTAATTACGAAACATTACATTGTATTGTATTTGTTGATCGTAATAGCATAAAATACAGTGGAAGTTATAAACAGTGGAACATTTGAACGAATTTTCACCGTAGTGCTACAAATATCTCAAAAAGCGTCTGTTCGAATGTTGCGCTCAAGCTAGTATTCGACAACTCTCTCTCGCTATATATATATATGAAAGCAATGAAAAACCTTGCTACTTAATCGACCGAGTAGCACAAACCACCATGCGAAGACGATCTAAATTTCCTTAACAATGGGGTGGAATAAAATGTCTTTAAAACATAGAATGATCATCTTATGTATCTGTGTTTAATCGATAACACTTATTTTAACCTTCCAACTAGTAAAAGTTCAGTTTATATCAACTCTACATCAACATCTATATTTGAAATCAAATCAATATTGTCACAACTATACGTGCCTGTCTGTTGATTTTTATGGGGCTTCGTCACGTACGCTTACCTGTAGATGACTTAAGTTTTCCTATACAGCAACCTAATTAAGGTCTGTCCTGATATTTTAAACATATTTTATTGAATAGCAAGTATGGATCGCCTATTGTTAATCCCACTAATATATTACCTTGGTTTACATAAAATGGGTTAGCAGATAAATTTCCTGACTTAGTTTACCTTGTAGAAGCTATATCCTCTGTGTCTGAGTATTTATGCAGGCCAAATCTCCTAGCTGTATTGTGAATTTACTCAAGTCTATTCAAAATCCAGAACACCAGTTGTAGAGACAGTATAGTGTTAACGATTAATAAAAACTCGCAAGAGCGAAGATAGCAAGCAAACAGGGAAAGGAATGGGTGGGTGTGTCTATGTAAGTGTCAAAAACCGATTGTGGATAAATTATTGATTGCCTATGTTTACAACTAATGAGAGAATAGATAAAGAGTATTGAGTGAAGACACGCGCTCAATCAGATTCATACATAATTTTACATAGTGCATTAAATGTCTAAAATACAGCAAACAAACAAATGATAAAATAGTTGAATATGCTTATTGCAACCTATAAAAATGTCTGTGATCTACAATTTGACAGTGAAAAATGAGTCATACCATTGGACTAGTGGCCCCAAAGATACCTAGTATATAATACAATTTCGATCACCGTTACAATTAGGTTCTATTAATAACAGAATGAAAAAGATACCGATTTAGTTTGGGTACTGTTCATGTGATATGAATACATTAGAAAAATTCATGAATGCTAACTAATTTTGGTGTTTTTTTTTCTGAGTTAGACAGTTTGGTGGTGGAGCTTTAATCGTTATTCTGAATGACGTCATCAACACAAACTCCAAGTAGAAGTAAAATGTTATTTTGTCCATATATAACTCACAGATTATCCTGTAGATCTCGATCTTGATTGGCTATCGTTAACCATTAACCTATCGTTGTTTACTTCTTTATTTTGATTATATCTCCCATTGATTTCATTCTTGGTTCTATATCTGTCCATAATTTTTCTGATTGGTTGACAAATTGGATCGATTTCAATGTGTTTGTTGATTGACCTGAATGCCAAGCTTTTGAAAACTCTCCAGTGTTTAGAACTCCTTCTTTTCGAGATCTCAACAATTTTTCAGTCGAATAAGTGTCCAAAGTTGTCCACATGTATTGATATAAGCGAGAATTCACTATAGCGTTTGACCGCTAATTGATGTTCGTGCAGTCGAAGATGAAGAGGGCATCCACTTTGCCCGATATAGTGTTTTTCGCACTTGGAATTTTTTTATTTTGTAGATGATGGTCCGTTCTTTTTCTCCTGTCATTTCGTCCTTTGATTTGTATAATATTGATTGGGGTGATTTTGTTGGTTTATGCGCTACATCTATTCCACGAAGCTTCGACAATCGCGTTGTAATTTTTGATATTCCTATTACATATGGTAGGATGATCCGTTTGTTGGTTCCCGTGCTTGATTTTGTTTCTGCTGATGTATTTGGTTGATATTTTTTGATGAAGGTAGCCGTTCTTTTGAAATGTAGTCGTCTTAATATATTTTTCTTCATTTTTCCGCACCGCAAGTGTATGTTGCAGTGTGTCCCCGCCCTCTTGGTTTCTGTATTTTCGGCCTACCGTAGAATCGAAGGAGTACTTGTCCATTGGATTTTATTCTCCATTGATCTTACTTTGATATTTGTCCTGCTTTGACAAGCTTGTTGAAAGGCCTTGAGTTTTGGTTGTCTAACATTCTGACTGGAATTGTGTCGATTGGTTTGTATACACTTTTATCCCCAAGTAGTTCCTCGGCTTTTCTGATATATCCATAATTACTGTAGTGTGTACTTTATTCGCTGGGACTATGACAATATCTTCTCTAGTTCTGAGTTTATTTAAGACTTGTTTCTTGTGAAGTCAGTTGGATGTTGTCTTTCTTCCGTCGAATTGACTAACTAATTTTCTAGCATTGAGTTTCCGGCGTAGCCTGTAACTCGTAATTCTGATCATGTATAAACACATAATTACTCAAAGGTAAGTAAGACGATGCAACTATCCAACTTTTCCTGAATTCCAGTGGTAATTTACTTAACACTCTTCTCAGTGAGACTCTAACTCGTGGTACCCACAACTCTATACTCCAAGCCTAGGCTTGTTTGTCAGCTAACACATGAATAATCAGTATGAAGAATAGTGATCACAAAATAACCAATGAGTACGCATTTATTTTAAATACACTAGATATACTTTAACAATGTTTTTTCCTTGTGAGATTTTATGTAACATATCTACAAGTTATAAGTTCGCCTATTGTTTCTGTTCAAACTACTGATATCATCATCCAGTTGCTGTAATCAAAGTTAGTGAAACTGGGATTGAATTTATTTTTTAATAATATCACTGCTTTGTCTTTTGAGAAGTTACACTTCAACAAATAATAGGAATCAATATGTCATTCAAAAGTTTGTGATGATCAATTTCAATTTAAGTACATTATCATTTTGATAGAACAATGACAAGAATATGTTAAATGGTTGTATTCTTTTCTTTTTTTCTTTCAAATACATATTCATTATCATTATACATCCATATCATTAACATATGAAAAGGAATAGGACTACTGAATTATTTTATCTTAGAATTTATCATTGAATTCACTTAAGATAGAAATGTATTTTCAGTACAATAAGCTATTAGTTATAACGTATGTACTCAGATACATATAAGAGTTTTAACAAAATATCACTCCTATGTTACTCATATTGACAAGTGTTAACTTAAGGCTAGTATGTATGGTTATTTATTAAGATCCTGTCAATTATCTCATTTTAGTTAGCAAACAATATTCAATATTCCGTATTTATGATGTTTATTATTATTAACAATATTATTATTATTATTGAATCTTATTGTATGGACTATTTTTATTATTCTCTTAACATTCCAAAAATTATTCTATTTAATTAAAACAAAGAATGTTATCCACTTGTTGTTGTTTTAATTGTATTTCCCCATTGTTATTTAGGACTGTAATTGGTCAGTCTCATGTTTGCATGTGTGCATCTTGTGCGGATCACCTCGATATAGCCTTAAGTTACAAGCTTTTTAAGCAAAGATGGATAGTGGCTAGCAGTGGAATTCAGGACGCGCGTTTCGTTCTATTTGGGACTCGTCAGCTGGATGTACGTGCATCCCGGAGTGAACACCAACTCTTTGCTTAAAGAATGTTATCTTTTATAGAGAAAGAAAAAGTAGTAAAACGTAAATAAATAGAAATATCACTTACTATCTGTCATTTTTAATCTGTCTGTGAATGCATATATAGCTTGACTTAATTCAGCTGCTCTTGTATCATTAGGTAAGAGAAGACCTCTTAAATCTTCCAGAAAATTATCCATAGCTATTTTATGCTGATATTGAATATCCTGTATAGATATTAAAAAAAGAAAAATGAAAAAAATAAATACGAATAAGAATCATCAAATTGTTTACAGTTCTATATAATCATTATTGTATATGCAAATATGGATACTGACAAGCAATAGAATACAGGATACATGTTTTGTCCCACTTTGAGACTCACCAATTGAATGCACTTGTACTTCAATGTGTTGATGTTTACTCTGAAACTTGAACCTTATTATCTTTCACTTTAAACGTTCAGCGCATAATCCATTAAGCTAATGAATCCAGATAATTTCTAGATTGTACAATGGGGATGAATTTTATGTTCTTTTCAAGAAATGTAAAAATACCTAACTCCATGTTTTATCATACCAAAGTGTAGAGTACATAAAATTCATATTCAGTCAGTAGTCGAAAAAGACATTGCTTGGTTAACACTTGATTATGTTACTAATGTGAGCCGAACGCTTAGCAACTCCTCAAGACATCAATAAATTTGCAATATAACCACATACGAATCAATCATGAAACACTATTACGATTACATACTACTTGTAAGTAGCTTCATTTAATAAACACAAAAGTTATTGTTGCAAATGAGCTGGTTGATGACTTTTAATGCTGACTTTTATGATAAATCTGAAAAATTCTTGATCTGAAAAGTATTTTATGCATTTTATACGGTAGGCTGATACACTTTCTCGCTCAATTAGTCAGTTGAGGGGGTGTTAGTGCGTAACACACCGTGTATCTGTACCAGATTTCGGATACCACACATCATATCACACCTGATAAAGCATGAATATGTATATTTCTTTCGCTTCAATGAAAGTTTATTATTTCCCTCGGTTGTTATTAGAAAGAGAGAATTAAACGGTAAACCTCTCAACTTTCCCAAATCACCACCTTATCATCTTTTATTAGGAGTCAGTGTCCTGCTTATGATGAAATATTTTTCTATCACTCAAATAATGAGTTATAAATTAAAAAGAAAATGATCGTATATTTGTGAAAATAGGATTCATTTATTAAAGAAACTTCGAATATTGATTATTTTTATTGCTAAGCCAAAATAAAGTTGTTTTGCGTCACTGGCACCCATTGAAAACCAAGAAAGAAATGGATACCCACTTCCTCCTTATATCAGAGATTTTAGTAGCCCGTGCTCACGAACTAGCCAATGATCGTACTCAGGACCTTCGTGTCACTTGGAGAACGCTTGACACCTACTTAACACTACTCTAGGTGAACATTCAATAGTTTACATTTCCAATTTTAACCAAATCTTTATTTAGCCCGATATAAATGAAAATCAATTGAAGTGCTCTCAAAATAACTAAACGATAAAAAGAAGTAAACTAAAGAATGAAACTTACTCCATTTTCTGCCATTTGATTTAATAAACAACTATAATACGATCTTAGTCGTTCACGTGATCTTTCCGCAAGTAAATCCCATGATTCAACACATTTTTCACGAAGTCTACAAAATGCAACAAGTTAATAAATTGTTTAATGATTGTTTAATCATTGAAGATTGATGAAAAATGTGTGTGGACACGAATGGAATAATAATTGATTGGCTTGGAATACTTAACTTTCAACCATTCGATCACAGGTCGGAAACGGGTTTCATGTTTTTTAATCTAACTGACTAATTAACATCATATACTATTATGTACAAATTATTATGCACTAGAACAAAGTTGACAAAATCTATAGTTGATAAAATTAGAAACAAGATTTTAATATCAAAATTGTAATCAAACACAAAGTGTTCTCAAGCATGGAGATATATACATGTTCACTTCTTCAGTTTAGTCGATAGGGTATACCATAATCTTTTTCAAATAACGTTATCTTTCAAAAAAACAAAACACTCAAACTTCATTCTTTAGCTTCCATGAGAAAAAGGAACTAAAAAAGCAACTTTAGGTTTGAATGTTATTTCATAAAGATCCTAAACATTTCTTGCTATTGTAGTTTAGAAGAGAAAAAAAGTTTGTGCAACATGTACTCTAATTTACGTAAATTGTTTACATTAAATTTGAATAGCTTTGATCTGTAGCAATATATTGTTTGTTTGTTTGCTTGCTCTTAAAGCTTACAAGTGTTTTTGTTAACAGATTGAAAAAGTTTAATTTCAAATGTTTTTATTATAGTCCTAGATATTATTTAAAATGAAAGAACATATTTCAGCTTAGTTCTACAATGGTTAAAAGTTTTATTTTTTAATATTCATTCAACTGAAATTTTGATGTGTGTTACTTGTATCGACATAAATAGTATATGGCATTAGTCGTGAACAGAATGTCTGGCAGCAGAGAGACAAGAGGATCGAACAGTAAAGAATGGAAACAGAATGCAATTTGTATGAAAATTCAAGAACAATGAAGTTTAAGTCATTTTGAGACAATTGATAAACATTTTGCAAATTAAGCATTTACTATATGATTGTTAGATTTTATTAACAAGTCCTGTAATTTTGTGTTAAATATATTCGATTGTCCCCACTAGTGTTCTGTTCGCTACACACCTTCTATCACGTTATCAATTTCTAATTTCTCTTTGATTTTTATGTGCACTCATTTAATATATTTCTTTTATATCAGTCACTCATAAACTAGCTTGATTAATTTAATATTTTCACATATGCAGATAAATACTTATACTGTATACTAAAGTCTGATGAGAATTTATTTAAAAGTAATATTGTTAGTTTATATGTGTTGTTTTTTAATCCAAGTAAATCGCCTAATTTGGAATTCGATAGTAAAATGAACAAATAGTTATCACCATGTACTGATAACAGTTCATTATTATCTATCTGTCCATATTGATGATGAAGTTATTCCACAGAATAAAACTAATCAATCCACAATCTTAAACTTTTAATTGTCAATGTGCGCACTAGTGACTAGCTCTCAGAGATAATCTCGTGGTCTCAGTGAGAAGCCGTGACGTGTGGAGCCGACCCGTATTGAGTGTGTAGTGGTTGCTCACCGAAGACAGTGGGAAGTGGTCCCGCAATGTCGCAAATTTAATAAAGTCAGACATCCACACTGTTGGACTGCAATTCAGTGGTCTTGAGGTTGGGCGTTCGTGCACGAGACCGAAGGTCTAGGGTTAAATTCCCGCGAGAGTGGTCGTAGATAAACACTTCTGAGGATCCTCATACTAAGATGAAACATTGATCGAGTCCTTCCAAGTTTCCTATGCCAGTCTCAGTCAGTCAGCTACAACGTAGGATCAGGTACATATGCTGGTTTAACTTAGATTGGTTATTACTTTGAATTAGAGTATATAATGAAATAAACAAATTATTAGTTCGTAAAATTCTGATTCTGATTAAGAGCAGTGTAATGTTTAACTTATACTCTGGTAAAAGATGACTCACAAAAATTCAGTAAAATTACAACTCAAAATTTATAAATTTGTGTAAGACAGATGGACCCATCTTACATAACATGAAGTTGGTTGGCACATGATTATGTTAAAGAGTAAAAAGTGGTGAAAAATTGGAAGTTACAAGTAATGAACATGAATAAAGTATATCGAAGAAACAACCCGATTTCGGCGCGAAATTCATTCTTGCATTACAGCCGATGAGAATTGGATACGCGTTCATAAATTTTTAATACATCTCAGCATTTAATGTGTTTGATGTTTAACACTTTCCTGCTCAATTAGTCAGTGAATGATACATGTAAGAGTATAATTTTCATTGCAGATTTGATTTCAAACACTAATCTGTCGTTTATTGGCTCGTTTCATCCACCAAGTTGGGATGCGCCACAATAGCATATTCACAAAAGATATAAGTTCGTAGTTTTAGACGATTAGAATGAAGTCTCTAATGAAAATCACACTCTTATATGAAGTATTGATACGCTAAATGAACGGGAAAGTAGTTGGAAATGCTAGATATGGCACTTTTATTAGATATTGTTAGAGGTAGGTTATTCGTCAAAAAACTGGGATATAATAATTTATTGGATTTCTTTTAATGACCATATCATTTCGTTTTGTTAACTTTCATTTTTAAAATTTGAACTCATCATCTCAACATTATCATCAATGTATTTTGTTGGTATTTAGAATTAAACTGACGTGAAATTAATCAGTCACTGATGGTTGCCCTTTTTTATCGCTATGTGATATCAACTAAGGAAATCGTGTAAATCTATGAAGCACTGGTCAGTTACATTCATTCCACTTTTCCCATTTTGTGTATGTATAGATTCTGGATCAATAATGTGATCGAACTATGAGCTTACTCTCCATCATTTTACACTATGAATAAGCAATATATTAAAAACTAACAGTTTTCATTGTTCAATAATATTTATTTATGTGAAATGATTTAAGTTGAAAATAATAATGCTCAAGGTTATTTGCTTTATAACATTTATTAAATTATGTTGAAAAACTCAGTATTTGAATCCCAACACATTAACTAGTAACTATTAAACGTGAAAATGATAAATCTTAAGTACAAAAAGAATTTGCATTGACAAATATGATCAGTTAAGATGAAGTACTTAGTTAGTATTTTATTGTTACCTTTACTACCATTCGAGTTTCCATAAATTTCATTTCCTTAGTCATTACTAACTGATAATTTTCGTTAACGTTTACTGATATGTTGCATAAACACCTGGAAGTAATTATGTAACACTCATATACATGAAGCGTTCAACAGATAAGCTACAAAGGTTGTTAATCATGCATATAACTAAACTTGCGACCAATTTCATTATGTATCGTATAGCTACTACTTGGAGGTCCTCAGATGCTTGAAGGATCATGTGTGATCAAATGTATGGTGTTGATGGGTCCCTGCAACATAACGACAAATGGGCTGCTCATATGGTAGTGATTAGCACCCTCCAGCCAAATTAAACTTAGGGTCCTGAAATTAGTTTTGCTCATGAGATGAAAAGGGAGGGAGACGTCAAAGTAATGTTAGGGGAATGGATTCCCAAACGATATGGAATCTGAAGAGCTTGACCTCCACGAAATGTCAATCATCTATTGAAAAACAGAAATGAAGAAGTAGTAGTTAAATTTCTACGAAGGGGTGTATTGTGAAGGGGATAAGACTGGTGTTTCTGTAAAATTACGTTCTATTGAAATCAGAGTATTATTGGATTGACTATGTGGCGATTTCATATGAGTACAAAAGTAAGGAATAATTATCATCACACTCACATCACTGATCGTTTTACAGCTTCTAAATCTGGATCACTTATCCATAAACAAACAGATGGTATTTTCACTATACCATTACTTGTTTGCACTGTCCAAAAGTGTTGATCATCTTTATTCGATATAACGCGTACTTCTTCACCTTCTTTTAATTCATAATTTGGTCCTGTCAATGAAGTTAACATACGAGCCATAACTGGACTAGCGGATTCTGTATTAGTACTCAGACCATCAATAACACCGCCTAGTCTTAAGTGAACAGGGACAATACGTCGGCTTTCTTCAAGCAAATTGCCTGATCGACCCCATAAATGAATCATATGATTAAGATGTTCCTAATAATAGTAAAAATAATAACAAACATTAATTTTTTTCTTTTGTAAATCTATAATATTAATAAATTCTTTAAAGTTAAAAAAATTATTGTCTTGAGTGCTTATACATGTTTTTGGCAAAAAAGTGTATACAATGAATAATAAATTCAAATGAGCTATGAATGAATTTATTGGATTTCAATTATTGAGATGTAATTAAGAGAACATCTTCAATCCAAGCTTTTCATAGTCTAGCACTCATTAATAAAATATATATCTCTAGGCGTCTTGTTTTAGTGTTAATGGTGAGACGATAATTTGTGGACGACCTTTGAGCAACACTAAATTAACCTTGAGAATGTTCATCTACTAACTAGTGCTGAATTGGGGTCACAAACCAGTATGGGGAATAAGAATCATGATTTACAGTTAATGGTTAAGGTTAGGAATCAGATATAGGGTTTTTATCACGCACTGAAATCACATAAAATGCCAGAACGCTATTTAACCAAATGGATGAATGAATTTCTCACCAAAATCCAAAACCCGTTATCCTAAATTTAATTAGTTCGTCCATAAATTACAGTCTGTCCGTGTTAATATCATTAAACGTATTTTTCAAGAACTTTGATTTTGTATGTATGAGTACAAATTCCGTGTATTTACGATGGTTTGATTTTTACCTAATCTACTGTTTGTTGAACTTATTCTTAACTAGGTCCTTTCGATCCTTAAAGATGTAATGGTACAGATCAATCATTTTTGGTATATCAGACTTTTTTGTCATATATTAAAGCATCTCTATTGAAGGGAAATGTATGTTTACCTGACTGATAATTCCGAAATTGTGAATGAGTAGTTATGAATGTTAATATATACTGAATACCTTTCACTGTTGGCAGGTATTATAACCTGTTAGTTCTCATAAGAAATTGATCAACAGCCTATTCATTGTACTTGATAGTATATTACTTTAAGTTTACTATTTACAAACTTTCCCCAAAGAAATTAGCTTCCGTTTCTATTGAGACGTTTTATAAATACTAGTCTAACTTGTCAATAGTACCCGCTTACAAGGGAAGAAGGTTGTAAGTGCATATTGTGGAAGAGTCAAGTAACAGACCAAACCAATCGCCCAGTATCTTTTGATTTTATCTAGTTGTCTAATTAAATTTAGTTCATGATGAAAATTATATACAAAACACTAGTCAGCATCATGTAGTTTAATAAAGTTAGGTATCAAATAGCAGGAAAATCCAGTTCTAAATTGGATGAAATATGCATTCTAGATTCCACTGCCAATCACTATCCAACTTGACTAAAAACTTTTGATCGAATAGAAATATCAATTGTTGAGATCATGAGTCAATTAAAGCTAGACCAACATGGAAAACCTGGAAGCACTGGACGGGTGTTTCGTCCTATTGTGGGACTCCCCAGCAGTGCTCATCAACGATCTCGAACCCAGGACCTATCAGTCTCGCGCGCGAACGCTTAACCAATAGTCCACTGAGCCGGCAGGCATCCAACGGTGTTAATGTCTAACTTCAACTAACCCACAAAATTGAGCGACACATCCACCATTGTCATCAGTGAGTTACTATCTCACAACTGACCAGGTTGAATTCGATTGGTCACTGCTTCTCACTAGAACTCCAGGAAATACATCTGGAGCCAGTTCTTAGTGAGCATACGTTGATTAGTATCCCGTGAGGCGGGATCGTGGACGCTCACTGTCGAGGAGTCCCACAATAGGACGAAACGCCCGTCCAGTGCTTCTCGGTTTTCCATGGTGGTCTACCTTCAATTGGCTCATGATCTCAACAACTGAAATTACTAAAACCTTCACAAAACCCTTTCTGATATGAAAATCATTATTCTCTTTTCCTAGTAAAAAGTGTCGTTCCCAACATTCTCTTAAACATTCTAATCTCATACATATTATAATCATATAACAGCAGAAATTATTACAACTATTATTAGTACTACTACTAATTCCTTTAAAAAAAATGCACATTCCATTATTTCTTAACATTCTAATTACAAGTAATGATTCATATTTTTTTAAAGAAAAAAAGAAAATATTTCAGTAGAAGTCATGAGCTAAACAAATCAATCTAAATTATAGGTTACTGCTTTAGAAAAAAACAAAAAAACGGTTTCAAATATCAAAATTTGTCGTTAATAGTTATTACAATTTTGTTGTCAATGTTCCTTTCATTTATCAGTAATTAAAAATAATAATGAAAAAATAAGAAGTAAACATTAATTCTTCAATTAATTATGAAGAATGACACACATGTTTAATTTTTGTCGTAATTGTTAAAATTTGTTTCTTTCGAAATAATAATAATCCAACTACAACTTTAAAAAGTAAATTTGTAGCTTTCAATATTAAGAAATAAAAATTATTTATTGGTCTAATCGATGAATTGAAGCTTAAAGATAAATTGAATCCAGGTAGGAAGTTAAGATCACTATCTATTTTAGTGTCTGTTTTTTTGTTTTGTTTTGGAGTAACCAGACAGAATGATTTGGTTTTCTATTAAAGGATACAATTCATAAGTTGGATGCATATACTATAACTTTGTTGCCAAGTTATGATAGTTTAAATCAGGATATGATTTATAATCTACCATGTAAACATGTAGTTATTTACTTTATGTTATAATGCTTGTGATTTAAGGCGATATAGAGACAATCTGTACACGATGTACATATAGCAATAAGAGACTGATCATTGCAGTCCTAAAAATCGATGAGAAGATCCAAATAAACAATACAAAATGAATTGACACTCCGCCCCATTGCACAAGCTAGTGGCTATCAGGTCTCAGTAGCTAAGTGGATGGCGTTTGAAGTGAATGGTACTAGGTTGAAGTCTCGGAGTGGATATCAACTCCGGAATGCAGGTACATCCAGTTGTGAGTCCCAAATAGGACGAAACGCTCATCCTATATTCGACTGCTAGCCACCACCCATCTTTGTTTATCTATAGTATATATATTTCAACTTATGCTTATATGTACATTTTACATCTAAAGTAGATTGGCTAATTTAATTGTATCATAAGTTGATTTATTTAAATAAATTTTAACTATTGTTTTAGTCAAAATTAATCTCATATTATTATTATTATTATATAATCTGTATTGAATATAACTACAAAAAGAAGTTGATTACTTACTCTCAATTCATTGGCCAAAATTGTACAATTTTTCAAAGTTGCAGGTAATGCTCTTGAATTTCTCGGTTCTGTCATTCGTACACGTGCTTTCAAACTGGCTTCAGCTTCATTAACTGCATGGTGAAACTGTAATGAAACATAAAATAAATTGATGATGGTATTGGGAAATTCTCTTTATTTGGAGTTGAATAATTGACGATTTCTGTCGGGAATTTATGTCAGAATTAAGTATCTGTAGGAATTGGCAACATTTCTCTCACAACCCTGATATGAAATCAAACTTACCACCTTCAAAATACATTGTTTTGAAGCTCTCGTCCAACAGTTCTGAGGGTTCTTTGGTTTCGAACTTGTGCCAAATTTCAACTTATTAATACTGAGTAGTTCCCCCGGTAAAAAAATAACATCAATGTTTAACAGTTCTGCAGCCCAATGTTACTTTGTTATGAAAACCACATATTCAAAATGATTAAATTAACCTAAACTAATTATGACTTTTCAGAGTAATATATTTCACTTATTAGCATAGAGATGTGAATACTATCTACTTTTATTAATATCATGAACCAAAGTTGGACAACCATTTAAAATCTGGAAACACTGGAGTTCAACCATAGCGAGTGTGGAGAAGTTATCTATCGAAGACAACTGAGAATGGTCTCATAATATCGTCCGTCAATTGTGTTAAGGATATCAAAAGTAGTCCTCGAAAACGTTCAGATGGGCCATAAAAACTCTGAGAAACATTTTATTCAATCAGCGTTGAATAGAAGTATCTTAGAAACATCTAGCAAATGAAGAGTCACATGTCACGTTTCTAATTGGATGACTGCCTATCCTGCTACTATGTTTAGTATGGTCCCAGAGCCTTGCAAAACACCAAGACCATCTGAAACCATCTGTACATAGACTAACCTTGGTATAAAGTGTTTGTTTCTTACTTCACGCCTTTTCTCTAGTGTTCAAGTTATCGTGTAGACTTAACTTAAAGCTATTAGAAGACCGTAGGAAACTGATTCAAGCGTTTGGTTAGAAAACTTAACAGATTGAATTTAGGGTTTTAAGTTACCGTATACCAGATCGGTAGTCTAGAGGTTAAGCATTCGCACGCAAGACCAAATCATCTGGTTTCGATTCCTGGTTCCAGGGTCATGGAAGTTCACGACTGAAAATTTTCATGCTGGAACGAAATGGCAATTCAGTATTTGCCAATATTCGATAGTTGTTTCTACAGATTTATATGTTTATCATATTTAGTGTATAAATACATCATATGTACTGTAACCCTGGTTGTATTTTATGTAATAATATAACATTTTTTCACGATATCAGAATCATTAAAAAAGTGACATTCTTTTACTTTTTTTTAAGCTAACAATGCACATATTTTTCTATTGTTAACCTTAGAATATTTAAACCTTGGGTCAAATGACTGGCAGAATTTCTGTAATTTATTGATACACAACAATAATAACATTTTCATCATAATAACATCTATGTAAATCATTAGAATGAATTCCTTGAAGTAATTATCAACCCCTACAGAATAGTAAATAAGTTAACTTAAACTATTTAAGTTGTGATTTTGAAGAGCAAATAATCAAATTTGAATGACAGTACACAACAGAATGATACCATCTTCATATGTTAAAATTATTCATATGAAATATTAATAACCGTAATTGGCAAGAAGTTTAAATTATTTATTCTGGTTAGCGATTTTTAGAAAGGTTGTTTTCTACGGGATTAGGTTGCTAACTCCATCCCCGAAACTCCACTTTTACTCGAGCTTGGGACCAGCAGTAATCCTAGAAAAGCTATAGGCTATATAGGACTCACCGGATCACAACACGAAGGACCAGATAGATTATATTTGTACCACTAAAAAATTCAGAAGGTCAATGGAAGACGTGAGAACCAGGAGAGGAGCGGACATACCTTTAGATCAACACCACCTGGTTGTGCCAAACATGAAACTGAAGCTAAAGTAACACTGAACAACTGGGTAAACAGTAGCACAAATGTTCAATACAGACTTCCTTCGACATACTGACAAACTCAACCAATTCAAGATAACTCTCAACAACAGGTTCCAAGCCTTACAGGTTCTACTGAAAGAAGAAGAAACTACTATGGAGGACAGCTGGAAAGGTATCAAAGAAACATTAACTTCAATGTGTTAAGAGGTTCTGGGCCCGAAGAAGCTTCATCACAAGGAATGGATCTCTATAGAAATACCGGACAGGATCAAAGAAAGAAAGAACAGGAAGACAGCAATTAACAAGAGTCGAACAAGAGCAGAGAAAGTCCAAGCACAAGCTGAATACATAGAAGCAAACAAGCAAGTGAAGAAGAGCATTAGAGCCGACAAGCAGAAATACGTGGAAGAACTAGCAACGACGGCGGAGAAAGCTGCAAGAGAAGGAAATATGAAACAGCTTTACGATACATCGAAGAAACTAGCAGGGAGATTCGGTTAACCAGAGAAACCGGCCAAGGATAAAGAAGACAAGATAATCACTGAAATTCAAGGACAGAAGAACAGGTGGGTGGAACACTTTGAGGAACTTTTAAATAGACCAGCTTCATTGAATCCGGCGGACAGCGAAACATCAAACACAGACCTTCCCATAGATGTCACTCCACCAACGATCGAAGAAATCAGGATAGCCGACCATCAGTCATATCAGGAGCGGTGAAGCAGTAGGGTCTGACAATATACCGGTCGAAGTACTGAAGTCAGACATAAAAGTAACTGTAAAGATATTCCATGCTCCATTCAGGAAGATTTAAGAGGAAGAATAAGTGATGATGAACCGTAAAGAAGGATGCCTCATCAAAATACCACAGAAAGGAAATCTGAGCAAATGTGAGAACTACAGAGGTATCATACTACAAACGGTACCAGAAAACATTCTCAATAGTGTTGCTGAATCGGATACAAGATTCAGTAGAAGCCCAGCTACTACATCATGAGACAAGTGTAAACTTGGAATCTTTAAGTAACACGGAAAAAAGGAAAATCAAAGAATACATTGCGTTGGGAATCGGAAGCAGAACTCACAAAAGAACTGGAAAGGATTATTGAGGACAGAGTTGGTTTAGGAATGCTGGTGAACGGCCTATGCTCCTAGATGAGGGGTAACATGCGTAAGTATTTACGTAAGTAATTTTTAAGAAAGTATATATATATATATATATATATATATATATATATATATATATATATATATATATATATATATATATATAAAATTCCAATGAAAACATATGGTATATTGACTAAACGTTGTGGCGCAATTTGTCTAATATCAAATGAGTGAGATTTCTCTACAGGTAATCTTCATAGCTCAATAATTATGTTTGTGACTTAGACACTAAGCACTATTCAGTTACCTAAAGATTTTAAATAAAAAGATTGAAAACTGACAACAAATCTATCGGTTTCTATCACATGTTGTTCAATAATCAATCATTGCAATTAACTCAAAATGTCTAGGACATTTTTATGACATGCACCCATTATACACTGCGACCAAATGACTATGAAATCAATTTTTCATCTAATTAACAGTATTTTGTGATACATTTTAAGGTTTTTGATTAGTTTTTTGTGATAATATTAATATAGTCACAGATTAATCCAGCCAATTAACCAAGCAAAAAATTTTTCAAAAAATATCTTTCATCCAAACGTTATGTAAGAGTTAACAATAAATACCTACATATATACATCCTGAAGTTAGATTTAAAATCACGTGACAGGAGTCTCACTATTATTATAACAATTAACTGATTGCATTATTAGTGATAATGTAGCTAATTAATAAATGTCACTCTACCAGAGATTAAAATTCAATAATCGTACGCATTTAAACACTAAACTATGAATTTAAACAAAAGGTTTACAACGAAAAACACATCCATCGAATAATGAATAAGATCTAAGTGAACATTTAGTCTCTATAAGATTTAAATTAATGGTCTTTAGAAGGTTTTTGTTAAGAAAAAAGTGATATTGTTTGCCTAAGTTATTTCAGTTTACAGTTTTTACTGGAAACAAATTTTGTTTAAACAATTATTAAAACCAAGGTGGCTCTCGACAGCGACTTGGTTTTAACATAACAAGCCTTAATAATACAAGGTCATAATCTATTCAAAAACCAAACTCAAGAGTTCTAAATTTTCTCAAGAGAACGCTACTTGAAGACCACTGGGCTGTCACCTGATGGTTCTTACTTTTAGATTCAGTCACTTCATGAATCTAGATAGATCACATTTGCATCAATAAAAAGTTCCGAAGGACAATGGAAGATGTGAAAACCAGGAGAGGAGCGGACATAGCTTCAGATCATCACCTGGTTGTGGCCAAATCGAAACTGAAGCTAAAGAAGAACTGGACAACTGGACAAACAGCACCACAAAGGTTCAATACAGACTTCCTTCGAGATACTGACAAACTCAATGAATTCAAGGTAGCTCTCAACAACAGGTTCCAAGCCTTACAGGATCTACTGAAGGAAGAAGAAACTACTATGGAGGATAGCTGGAAAGGTATCAAAGAAACATTAACTTCAACGTGTTAAGAGGTTCTGGGCCCGAAGAAACATCATCACAAGGAATGGATCTCTACAGAAATACCGGACAGGATCAAAGAAAGAAAGAACAAGAAGACAGCAATTAACAAGAGTCGAACAAGAGCAGAGAAAGTCCAAGCACAAGCAGAGTACATAGAAGCAAACAAGAAAGTGAAGAAGAGCATAAGAGCTGATAAGCAGAAATACGTGGAAGAACTAGCAACGACGGCGGAAAAAGCTGCAAGAGAAGGAAATATGAGACAGCTTTACGATACGACGAAGAAGCTTGCAGGGAAATACAGTAAACCAGAGAGACCAGTCAAAGACAAAGAAGGAAGACCAATCACTGAGATTCAACAACAGCGCAACAGATGGGCAGAGTACTTCGAGGAACTCCTGAACAGACCGGCTCCAATGAATCCACCGGACATCGAAGCAGCACACACAGATCTTCCTATAAATGTCAATCCACCAACGACAGAAGAAATCAGAATGGCCGTCAGACAAATCAAGAGCGGGAAAGCAACAGGACCTGACAATATACCAGCT